TGAACTCTAGCTCTTACAGGCTAATTCTCGCACCTGGACTAGCCCATTTCTAGTAATGTGTGTAAGCACCCCAAGGTGCACTTACCGGGAAGATTCTAGCCTAAGTCCATCGTGGGTTGGAGGAGCTTCATTGCGTGCATCTGCCCGGGAGAGCGGAGTATGGCAAGCATGGAGTCTCTGCTCCAGAGCAGAGCTGTAGAGTCTCTCCGGAAGCAGAGCAGAGTCTGACCTCACTTCCTCTTCCGCCCAGCATCCTATTCTGTTTATTCCACCCACCTATGTGCTAAGCTATGAGGCCAAGCAGTTGGTTTATTATAATTAACCAGTTACCTTCCTCCATCATTATTCCTTGGTGTAGCCATGCTCTGTTTGTGCCTTCCCTTACCACTTTCTCAGCCTCAGTGAGTAAAATCAGTCTTTTGAGGATGAGATTGTTTTCAGGCATTTAAGTCATTTATTTTCAAGGTCACTTGCTTGCTGTGGTAGAAGGCTTGGCGCTGATATTTATTTCGACCAGTGTCCCAGGTACAGCTGCAGTGTTTGCTGGACACCTGTCAGGATAACACAGTGACACATGGTAGAATGTACAGCGAACAGTCTAAAGCCTTTCTCTACTAGTTTCTGACCCGCCTTGTAAGTCATTCCATTGTCATTTGGCCAGCATCTTCCTATGGAAAATTTCTAGCAAGTGAAGTTTAGTTCTGTCAGAGTGTTTGACTTTGCTAAAGATCTCTAGTACTTGGCTTGCTCAGAAAGCAGAAGACGTTCCATGTAGTTTAATTATTTTCCCATCCACTCACCTAGCTAGTATGAGGCCCTATTACTCCGTGAGTTCATTTCAGTTGAGCAGGTTAAAGCAGGAACTGAGATAGACGCTCCCCCAGGACTGCAGCAAGAGCGTTCAGAGTGCTGTGGGTTCAGAGGGAGCCTGGAGACAGTCTTTCTACTTTAACTGGGGCTTGGGCTGATGTCCAAGCAGAAGTGGAGGTTACTTTGCTTCTGAGGACTGGAAGGCCAGGGCAAGACATAGTAACTGCAAGAAAGGGCATGGGACCTCGGGAGGTATGCACGGTGCCCTTTGCAAGGGCTTCCATCATTGGTCAACTATGGGAACAATCTGCCAGCAAACACAATGGAAGAACATTTTAACGAGAGAGTAAAAGGGCCTTGTATAACTGTATGCATCTTGAGGGAGATCAGGGAAAAGGTAGTCGGAGTTGGGAATAATATAGGGACGGCTGTGTGCTGAAGCATGCTTGATTCTGTATCATGCACTAGGAGTCTATGGGCTGGAGAGATATCTTATGAAGATGATTGCTACTACCTGACAAGAGAGGCCAGGGCTTGAACTAGCCGGAAGCAGCAGGAAATGGGGAGGGATTTGCCAGATGCCTCTCAGGAACCATGTAAAGGCTTCAAAACTAATTAAATGTCCAGTGAGGAAGAGGGAGAGGTTCAGGCTGTCTGCCAAGTTGCCAGTTGATGTGATTGAAGGGCTCGTTATCTCATTCACTAGGGCCTGTAAACACGGGGAGGGGGACAAAAGAGCAAGCAGAGTTGAGGTCGGTTTTAGACATGCTAAGATTGACAATGGCCGTCCGGTGGTTCTCTGAGCTGTCCTCTTGGTAGACCTTCACATACCTGGTAATTCCATTTCTGAACTAATTTAGGAACAGTCTAGATTCTTACATTGAGAAAGATCAAGAGAAACTCTCAAAGTTGAAAGTGGTATGTGATAATCATAGGTAATAGATTTGGGTCCACTTCATCAAAAGAATCTCCTTTAATACAGATTTTTTTTAATGATCATTTAAAAGTGAAGAAAAACTAAGACCAATGAAAGATTAAATGTCGTACCAAAAGTCATCCACCGAAAAGTACAGAAGTCGGATTCGTAGTTGGAGTTCAGAGTTCTATGGCTTCCCATTGTCATCATGATCAAGGACGTACTCATTCATCCTATGGCTTCCAAGGCTATCTGTCATCTGACTCTTGCCTGCGTGTGCCTTCCCATCAGAGCAATTTCCCTTTCCTGAACATACCACGCTGCCTTCCACTCTGGAACCTTTGCTTTGCTTTTTGACTGGAAAGTTCATTTTATCCTTTCCCTCCTAATTAACTTGACATGGTTCTTCAGATCTCAGGCACCTTAGAGAAGTCCCTTCGACCCTGTCAGAGAGTCCAAAAGGAGTTGTTAAAGCATCTTGTGCTATTTCTGCCCTACACTTAGAACAGTCTGCAGCTGCGCGTTCACACCTCTGAGGAGTTGGTAATGTGTGTCCTCTTCCCTGGTTAATTGCATCGTGGAGATAGTGTTAGTTTCTTCCTATTAGTGTGTCTCTAGCACACAGCACAGTGCCTGGCCAAGATCAATGCATAGTCTTTGAATGGCATCATGACTTCAAAGCCAAGGCTTTATTCATCCTGCCAGTTAAGAAATGGCTTGAAACATACAGTTCAAACGAAATGAATTTCTTCTATCTCCCTCTCTCCCTCCCTCCCTCCCTCCCTCCCTCCCTCTCTCCCTCTCTCCCTCCCTCCCTCTCTCCCTCCCTCCCTCTATCCCTCCCTTCCTTCCTTTCTCCCCCCTCTTTCTATAAGGGGAAGAACAGTGTCTAGTGACAATCACTGTTAATCAATTTTACACGATGAAGATTCCTGACTGTAAAGTTGCAAATGGATGAAGAAACACAAGGATGAGTTAGACAGGGGAGAAGAATGGGTGCATATGATCAAAATAATTATACTCATGTAGGAAATTCTCAAAATGATTAAAAAGAAAGATATTCAAGGATGGAGATGGCAAGGTCATTTCTTACTTTATAGAGCAACGAAGGGGTTCTTTATAACCGCAAAATAATTTAAAATAATGAAATATCCTACCCCTGTGACATTTACAAGGTTAAGAGTCACTCATTGCCGAGCAGATGTGAGACAAAAGGTGTGGAATACAGATTTGTAAACAAGTAACAGGATAGTAAGTGATCACTGTCTTCCCAGCAGAGGGCCATTCTTCATGGCGTACAGAACAGGAACTTGCCTTGGAGGCTTTTTCTAGAGAGCCTGTTTCGAGGTCACTGTCTGCATCAGCTTAGACTCATTACCATCTTAGATGACCATCCAACAACAATAATTCTGAAATAACCGCTGTTCATCAAAATGCCAGAAATGTTAAACGTCAGGCTAAGTCAGTTTGCTCGAGTGTTAAACTATATTTAAGAAAACATATTTGAAAAGAAGACATACTTGAAAAGATTTCAGATAAAACAGGGAAATTTTCGGAATTCAGGAGCCAACTTTCTCTTTTTTTGCAAAGGTTTCTAGGCAGAATCATTACCAACATGTTTTAGGTAGTTTTTTTTTTCTTACAGTTTTGAGTTATGGGAATTTTAAAGCACATAGCTACGTGAAAGGACTGTAATTAACCCCTATTTCCTCATTGCTCGGTGCCAGTAGCCACGAACACACCCTGCTCCACTTTCTACTAACCTTCCCTGCTGGGCATGGCTGTTTATTATCTCAGTCATAGTGAAACCTCATCCACAATTCACAGGAGAGCTCTCGAAAGCCAGGGACCTTCAAAAATAAATTGAATTTGTATTCATACCTAAAAGAGAAGTCAAGGTCTTAGTATTTTTAAACATCAGTGTTAAAATTTCTCCAGTTGTCTGCAAATTCCTTTGATATCTATTTGTTTGACTCAGAGTTCAGAGAAGACCAGCATATTAAATTGGGCAATTTTTTTTGATCTCCTTTTAATCTTTAACAGTTCTTCATTTACTTTTTGAAATTTGTATTTCAATACCTTTTTTAAAGTGAAGAAACGATTGTGTTTGTCTTGTGAAATAATCCCACGTTCTTGATTTTATTTACTGCATCCCAGAGGGGATGAGATTGTTCCCATAAACCGATACAATTGGCTGCTTAGTTGGGTTCACGCTTGACTTTTCAGTACAAATTCTTTATCTATATATTACTGGGTCCTGCCAATTGCTCAGATCATGGGACCTACAGTGTCTGACTGTCTCTCTTATTGAACTAGATGGGTCTGTTGGGTCTGTTATCTGCAGTCTAATCTTTCTGTTCTTCACAGCTCTCTCAGCCTCTCATGGCTGAAGTGGTCCTCAACCCTGCCAGTGAATTGGAACTACTGGGAACCTGTCACACCAGTGGTGCTTTATTTCTGCTCCAAGGGCTGGTACACTGTGGGCTCAGGAAATGCTTGAGTCCTAGTTGACTCTGCTGTACAGACAGACTGAGAATTTCTCATCTGCTAATTTTGACTGGCATTGAAGAATTTCCTGTATAGTTTCAATGTTTCAGGAGAAGTTGTTAAATGGTGTTACTGCAGTATAATGGCTGCATGCATGACTAGAAATTCTGTTATTAAAAATCTCACTAAGTCTTTGGCTCTGCCTTTGCTTTGCATAAGAAAAATAGAATAAAAATAAGTAAGAGGTTCTTTCATTTTCTGAACAGTGATTTGAGTGTCCATCATGCTGTAATGATCATCGTTGATTTTGGAATATATTGATGTTTCAAACCATGACATTTATTGTTATTACTATCATTCTAACGTTCACTTTTTTGGATTTGAGTCTGCAGAAGTTCTTTTTGGTAGCTTCTGTGACCTTTTTTTTGACAATGTTTAATTATTCAGGAACCATATTTAATTGCTTCATTGCATTTAAGGATGACAGCTTTATGTCCATCTTAGATTTAAAAGTTGAGTTCCTCTTAGGCAATTTCATCACTGAACTTGAGCCACCCACTTAAGTGTGCACTTGTCTGTATCCTGTTTGCCGATATTCTATTTCGTGTATATGTGATTACTTAATGGACTGGCCAGATATTTACCAGTAAAATTCAATAGATAACCCATAAGTAATTAGGAAAAACATAAAAATAATGTAATAAATCCTTCACTTAGGTTGTTAATCTTCAAGTGACTGCTAGATAAATCTCTGGTAACCAGTTTGTTTGTTATGTCTTCTCTTTAGTTAATGTCCATCAGTGTCTTGGCCGTTTCTGCTTGGATGAGGGACTACCTGAATAATGTATTGACTTTAACTGCAGAAACAAGGTAGGCCTGTTATTATTGAATCCTTTTGCTTGATCTCCCCAGGTCACAGTTTTGAAACATCTTTGATATAATCTGTTCATTGAGTGGTTTTCCTCCACTATATGGTAAAACACTTTTTCCTGCCCCTGTTCCTTCATTGCTGGAATTTATGCCTGCCTGCCTGCCTTTTTTCCTTCCTTCCTTCCTTCCTTCCTTCCTTCCTTCCTTCCTTCCTTCCTTCCTTCCTTCCCTCCTCCCTCCCTCCCTCCCTCCCTCCCTCCCTCCCTCCCTCCCTCCCTCTCTCCCTCCCTCTCATTAAGCAATGCGACTAGTCCTACAGGACATCAGGTAACAGTCCTTTACATGGAAAATACTACGATCAGTAACACACCAGTTGCCTGGCTGGTCCTTGTCTCTGAGTGGAGACTGTAATATATACCACCCTGAGTCATGGTAAGAATCAAGTGAGAAGAAACCTTTTTGAAAAGACTTTAGTACAACAGTGCTTATAAGCACTGAGCAATGGCTAAGTTTCATTATCATCACGATCACAGGCTCTGGTTGGTGACTACATATATCCTGTCAAAAAGCCCCTCCTTTCCTTCTCCTGTGACTATACCTCAATTTTCCTATCCTTTACTCACATTAGAAAGTGAGCAGTTACCAGACAGAACAAAAGTGCTGTACAGACTCCAAGTTTAGGCAAGGGGGCATTCCTCTGGTTGGACCTCATGTGATTTTCTTGGGCTAGTGCTTGGGAGCCCACATTTAAAATGTGTTGGGGTAGAAATGCCGACAGCTACAAAGAAGCACCATAAGACTAAAACAAAGATACAGTAAGCAAGCAGATAGACACAAAGCGATAAAAGTCACCAGCTCTGGAAGGCTGATGCCTTGCGGAGCCACAGCTCACAGCGGCATTTCTTCAGTGTCTGGATCTGGGGAGGATTTTGATTGACGATGCTCTGTTCATCTTGTGAATATGATCTTCCTCTTTTAGGGTAGAAGAGGCGGTCATCTTGACTTACTTCCCTGTGGTCCACCCAGTCATGATTGCTGTTTGCTGTTTCCTTATCATCGTGGGAATGCTGGGATATTGTGGAACAGTGAAAAGAAATCTGTTGCTTCTTGCATGGGTACAGTGTTTACACCTTCTCTTCATTACACGTATAGCATCACGTGATAATGCGCTGCTATGAGTTCATAACTGTATTAGCAACTCTAAGAGGTGGTCATTATTCAACATGCTGTCGGAAAGGAACATTCTTTCCATAAGAGGTAACTTGGGGACAAATATTTGCTATATTTGCATGACAAGGCAGGAAGATAACATATACAGTTTAATTATTTAACTCTGGCTCTGTTTTGACATTTTCTTTTATTTATTTATTTATTTATTTATTTATTTATTTATTTATTTATTTGTGGTATAGACCTTTCTCCTTCCAGGACCAGAGTTGAGATGTCATAATGAACATTTTTTCTTTTAAACAACCTACCTGGCTACCCTATTTAGAAATTCAGGTGGTGAGACAAGATGTTTGGTATATTGCAATCACCATGCTGCCTTATATAGTCTGGTGGATACAAGAGAGTCTCGAGTTCTTTAATCTAAATATTTTACGTTTTTATTTTTTAACTCTGAAAGAGTTGTACTAAATTACTTTTTAAATTGATTTTACTCCTTCAGCTTCTATAATTAATTTTATAAATAAAGATTACTAATCTTTAGAAATTAAAAATGAGAATCAATTAAAATAATTTACTTGTATATTTCTAGAAGAATACTGAAAGCGGCATTCCTGTGCCAACAGGCAATGAGCCTGCTAACATGTAAATTGTGGCCACGAGAGACTCCAGGAAAATGAATTCATTGAGTATGTTCTTTTCTTTGTAGTAGGTTCCCAAATGAGCAGTTTGCTGGTCAACTGGATCTTTGGGCAGCATGAAAGTTGTACTTTTTAGCACTTAGAGTATTTCCATAGGGCAAATACTCCTAGCATGGCTGACTTCAAGTTACCAAGATGACATCACCGAATGTGGGTCTGGGGAGGAGTGAGTGCACGCTGGCTTACCACAGCCAGCTTGCTCAGATGTGTGCTTGCCAGAATCCCATCCAAGCCAATTCAAACAGAATCTTCGTGTGAAGCGGAATTCAGCTTTAAATGTCACAGGAAGAACCTTGGATAAATTATCTGTAGGTTCCTTAGAGAGTAATTCCCAGGTTGAAGAATAGAAACTAGAAACTGTAGAAAATAAACCATACTTACGGAATCGAAAATGTGCTTAGCACCTACTTCATATGTGGACATAGAGAGGAAAGGAGAATTGTAGAAGGGCTTCCAAGCTTATGATGCTCTTATGACGTCTTTAAAATACCTGAGTAAGTTTGTGCATTCATGTGAATGACTTTATATAAGTCTCCTATAATCCAAAGACTATGAAATATATTTCAAAGGTAAGAACATCTCAGCAGCCTTCTTAAGAACCACAATGCTACACTGGTCTCTCAAGACCAGTTTCTTTTATATCCAGTTTCAGTTTGATTGGTGTTTTATGCTTCCTTCCAACTTTTACTTTGGATGGTTCTTGGAAAGCAGTATGAGATGAGTTGGATCAGGTATGTTATGGAGCCACAAAAACTTTTGACAACACATTTAAAAAAACATTTATATATCCTACTAGGTTGTTTCAATGCTAGCAAAAAAAAGCCGGTAGAGGAATTCAGCCTGCTACTTGACATGTGACCTAGATTTGTGAATGAATGTCTAGTTTGTGATGTAGGAAAAGGCTTTATACTCTGCAATGGCATGGAGGCTGAGGTCCTATTGTCATTAGCTCATTCATTCATTCGTTAAACATGCATCAAGCATACATATGTTTTTTTTGCCATCAGAGCAATGCATGTAAGAGATGGATAATTCCACTATTCTCTGAGAAGACCTCTAACATGGTCTACAGTGGGTACTCTAAGGCTAGAGAGGAACGGCTCCAAATGCAGCCTTGAGGGTCAGCACCGGTCTAGGGCTGTAGTGGTTGAGCTCATTGACCTTATTGCCCTTTTCTGTCTCTTCTCCCTTCTTTCTTTGCTGGTGTTCTTTTTCCATGAGGTTTCTTCAGGGCTATTGCTGCCCTCTTAGTCTATAGGTGCCACTTACACCTTGGCTCTTCCTTCTGTCAGCTGTCTTTGGTGGTCCAGTCTCCAGTCTCCTTACAACTTCACTACTCACTGCAACTTTCTAGACAGAGCTCTGTCTAAACCCAAGCACAGTTTCTCCGTTGCTAAAAATAAATTGTGCTCTCAACTCTCAGTGGTCCATCACTCATACATCTGCTGTTCCTCAAGCTGTTCATCCCCCAGTTTCCTCCCCAAGC